TCTGTATTGATGAATATTTGATTGGGTTTTACAGATGTAATGTAGCAGATAGAGAAGAAGTCTTTAGAGTAGCGGAGAAAGTAAAAAAAGAAGTAGGTGACGTTACTATCTTGATCAACAACGCCGGTATAGGATTTGCTAAATCACTTTTAAATCAAAGTTTCGATGAAATTGCACGTGTTATAAACGTCAACGTGATAGCGCATTATTGGGCAAGTAATATATATAATCGATGGAAAAAACAGATCCATGTGTTTTTTTTTTGCTTTAAATATATTGTAACATAAATTAAAATAAGAGGCAAGTTCTTATAAGTATTCTTACCCACGTTAAAAAAAAATCCCACGGACATTGACGTGTACAGTTGCTATACGATATCAGTTTTATCTCTTGCTCGGCTTTCTTTTTAATTTTAATTCTGACCTAGTTTTATACGCTATTATTTTTTATTTATTTATTACTGTTATTTATTCAATTTTATTGCTGCAAATATGCAAACTGTGCGTTTTACTACGTTCGAAGATCTATACTTAGATTATTCAGCCCTTCAACTGCATAAACAGCAATCGGAGGTGTCGATAATTACTTCCTCACTCATTAACCGTGGAAAAGTGCACATGTAAGAAAAAAAGAGCAAGAGTTGTTGAATGTCACTGAGGATGGCTAAAAATGATAGTCGAAACGTTTGACTATTATATGAGAAGAAAGTGGATTTTATATAATCAGGAGACGCGATAGCGGCTCCCGCCAAGTATATTTTTTCGTTACATGACGGTCATCATACAGAGACGATACAATGTATCCTTTACCGGACGGATAACGTTTCTGTAGGTTTAGATATTGCGTACCAATAACTGTGCCGATTCCTGTCTGCCTTACTTACCTTTCGTATTTTTCAAAAATGTCTCTTTTAAAGAATTCAATTTTTTAAAGCGTCATCAAAATTATGTTATATTAAAATTGGAAAAAATATTTGAATCCGTTTTCTTGTGAGACATGTTGAAACCTTGTGATACACAAAATAACTCAACGAAACTTATCATTTTTAGAAATATAACTGCATTAGCTCGCCGTTTAATTCTTTAAATACGATTTGAACAAGCATGTAACCTAAACTTTTGTTATTTACAAAGGAACTATTTTCAGACATTACGAGCATTCTTACCAAGTATGATAGAAAAAAATCACGGTCATGTCGTAGCAATTTCATCAGTACTAGGATTTATTGGAGTCCCTTATGGAACAGCCTATTGCCCTTCGAAAAGCGCAATCAAAAGTAATTTATCTCATATTTAACGATATTACGATATAAATAATAAAATATTATATTATAAGGGAATATAAACTATACTAATGAAAATGAATGAACATTAATATACGTATACACACATATACAAACACACACACAAATTAAGAAAAAATATATATATATACACTTACTATACATAATTATACGTAGCAGCACGCTGATAGTATAACATGTTATTATATATGATTGTAAAGTACATTTTTTTTACATATTTTGATGTATGTATTGTAGCAATGATGGAAGCTGTATCTGAAGAATTACGTGCATTAAGTAACGGAAAATCATCAGTTAAATTCACTACTATTTATCCGAGCCTAGTGCTTACCGGAATAGTAAAGA